TACAGTAATATCCAATTTAATTGCCATTTATGTTTTCAGAAGATAAATACTGACAGTTCTAACTTTGCATAAATTTGCATTTTGCAAATTCCCTTGCTAGGCTGGGCTCCAGCTCTGGCAGGTGGTGACAGGGGTGCCTTCACTTTAGGCACTGAGGCAGCCTGGGACCAGGAGCAGAGAGGGAGGCACCAAAGCCACTCTGGCTGTGGGGGGCCACAAAGCTGCAGAGGGGACACAAGGAACCCTATGAGGGGAAGTGGAACAGTCCACTTAGGTTAAGTGAGAACTGGCTGCAATGAAAATCTTAACTAGCATTTTGAGGCTACCTTCTATAAAATGGATGAAAGGATTCAGTATAACACTTCACTTAGTAGCTAAAAGGCCAACTGCCCATATTGGGTTCTCAATGAACGGGTTCTGTCATTAATCTCTTGTTGTAGCCAAAAATGTCCACCCTGATTCTTCTTTTGTAGATTTTCTTTCCAGGAATATTACTACATGATTTTTAAAAATTATTGAAAGTGTTTTTTGTTTGTTTCTTTGTTTTTATCGTGGGTTTGTAATAAGAGTGGAGAGAGTCAAACAAAACAAAAAGTGACACTTCTGAGACTCAAATGGGATTAATATCACTGGGATCTCTTCAGATCCTAGATGAGGATACTGGAGCTCAGAAATGTTAAGTGACTTACCCAGGGTAACACAGTAAGTAACGAAAGGGGGATTTGAGCCTGGGTCTCCTAACTCCAAATGCATTGTTCTTAAATGAGAATATGTTTTTTCCCCTCTTATTTAGAATGTAAGCTTTTTCAGAGTAGGCACCACCTGATTTTGATATTTTTATTTTTGTATTTATTTGTATTGTACATTTTAATTTTTATCCCAAACACTTATTCTGCTTAGCATGTAGTTGGTGCTTAATAAAATGCTCTGTATCTATAAAGTGCACTGTAACAGATATATGCTGGAGCCAACTCCAGCCAGCTCATAAGAAGCAACTGTTAAATTTTCATTTCATTATGAGCATTTCAGATCATGGCTTAATTGATTGTTTTACTGATTGTCTAGACTTAAGAAAATAGAAAGAAGAAAATGTTAATAATGCAGGATTAACTTTAAAGTGTGTCATGTCACATTTTTTTTATTTTTGGAGAGCTGGTTACCAATATACCCCTCCTTGTAACCCTTAAATAACTATATACATGCCAGCTATTATTTGAAGGGAGTATTTCACTGAGTTTCTTCTAACCCTAGCAGTGGAATTAATTACAGGTGTTAGGTTTTCGGTTTATAATCTGAATCTTCAGGTATGTAGTTGAATTTCTGTGTGTCCTTTAGAGCTAATTAGGTTTTGTACTTCTTATATTTTAAGGAAGTTAAAGCACTCTTCAAAAATGAAAACTGTCCCAAAGTGATAAGCTGTGAGTTTGCCCACAATAGCAGCTGGTACATTACATTCCAGTCTGATACAGATGCACAACAGGTAAGAAAATATTTTTTGGTATTGCCTCAAGTGGCCATTTATGTTTTCACCATTGTATTCTAACTCTTTGGGAAGCTTCTCACTTCTGTTTTCTTAATTCATTTATAAGATTTGGGCATTTGAAATTGTCCATGATTTTTTCCCCTTAGAAATCAGTTTATATAGTTAGTCTGCATGGTTTGATGATCTGCATAAGTAGTTTTTACTCTTAGTCTTAGTTAGAATAAATGTGTTTCTTTTGATTGTCAAAAAATGCTTATGTATTATAGAATTACTGATGATTTTTCATGTTTTCACTTTGGTAGCATGGCATCTTTTGCCTTTTGTTTCTTTTGGAAATGTGGGCTGGAACCCTATTATCATTTTTCTTGATTTCCTTTAAATGTAATGCTAAGAACTTTTCTAATGTGCTTTTTTGCAGGCTTTTAGATATTTGAGAGAAGAAGTTAAAACTTTTCAGGGCAAGCCAATCATGGTAAGAAATTTTTTCTTAAGTAGGGAATTATCATGTAGATATTGGTATTTCCTTAAAAGGAAAACCCAGTTAGCATCTAGGGAAGGGTTTAGTATGTACTAACCTGCCCCCAGAGTGGTAGTGTGAGTTTGTTAATAATTCCTCACAGCAATATCCTGTGCCATCCATACACATACAACATATAAGGGAAATGTGGTCCTAGTTTTAACTGAAATTCCAGGTCTACAACAAAAATTTTTCAGAAGCATCCAGATTAACCAAAATTCTGCAATTAAGAGTAGAAACAAAACATCAAAGAGCAGAAAGGAAGAACAGAAAACCTTCAAGTTCTAAGCAATCTTAGAAGTCTCTGTAACTCCCAAGATTCTAAGATCTTAGGTGAAAGATCCACATGCAACAGTGATTCTCTGGGCCCTACTGCCTGAGAGCCATGGAGTTGGGAATATGTAGTCTGTCATTGGCTTAAGTGCCCCTTTGGTTATGTTCCCTTGATTTTAGAGGATCTACTACTCTAGTTCCATTTAATCACTTAACAATAAGATTATTTACAAAAGGTTATTTACTTCAGACATATAGCACAGACATAAAGCATCCCTCTACTGCACACCTGCTTTTGATATGGACATAAACCATTTGAACTCATTTAAGTGTTTGATTCTTTTTAAAGTTGCATGACCAGTTCATTGATTTGTTTTCTTGTCTTGATTAAAAATTTAGAAAATATAAAATTTCCCCTAAGAACTTTGCATTACATAAGTTTTGGTATGTTGTCTCATGGTTTTGTTTTTGGTTTTGGTTTACATGTTATCTGTGCACACACCCCCCTACCCTCCCTATCCCTTCAAGCAGGGATTGATTCATTTTTTCTTTGTCTCCCCCAGACCTAGCACTTAGTGGGTGTTTAATAAATGCTTATTCACTAACATAATGCAAAATACCAGCTCAGCCTATGAATAGGACCTTAAGAAATGAATATGAGAATATGCAAGAAGAAGCAGATTGGAAAGGATATTAAGGATTTGAAAGGGGGAAAGTAATAGACCTTATCCAGGGGAAGGGCTAAAAAAGAGCTTAGGAACTTTAATTGAAGAAAGGAAAATACTAGGTCTTAACAGACGAACAAGGAAGATTTTGTGATTATTTCAAAGAAGTACATGAAATTAGTACTTGCTGTAGTCTTTTAGAGGAGCAGCTTTGTGGCACAGTATATAGAGTACCAGAACTGGATTCAGGAAGACCAAATGCAGCCTCAGACACTATCTGTATGACCCATGGCAAGTCTTTTAACCCTGTTTGCCTCAGTTTCCTCATCTGTAAAATGAGCTACAGAAGGAAATGGCAAACTGCTCTGCCAAGAAAATCGCAAATGGGGTCATGAAGAGTCAGGCAGGACTGAAATAAATGAGAAGCATGGTCTTTCAGAGCTTAGTTGACGAAGTTTACAAAGCAATTCTGATTACTTATCTACATCTCAGAGCTGGCCCCTGCTTTTCAAGCATGTGGTCTGTGGAAAGGCTTCTTTCATTCCCACAGGGGAAGTCTAAAGATTAAAAACAGCACACTCTCATATCACTACCTCTACCTGGGCTACTTGGGTTGGCCTTACAATAACTTAATCACATTTGTCAAAATAAAGGATTTTTAGTGTCTTTTACTGTTGATATAACAGGAGTGCTTTCTCTTTTCCTTAGGCAAGGATAAAAGCCATCAATACATTTTTTGCTAAGAATGGTTACCGCATAATGGATTCCACTGTATATACTCAACCAGTTCAGACTCAAGCACAGTTTGCCTCTCCGCTCTTTATGCAGCCTGTATATAGCCCTCATCAGCAGTACTCAATCTATAGTATTGTGCCTCAGCCCTGGTCTCCAAACCCTGCACCTTACTTTGAAACACCACTGGTAAGTAATGTCACAAAACCAGATATTTTTACTTGAGATTTGAAAGGATATTTAGTTTTTATCAATTTAACTGATATTTTGTAGTTCTCAACAGTGTTTCATTATACTGTTCTGAGTCTATTAGTTTGAATATATGTAATTTCATTCTTTTAAGCCTTTTGAAGGATAGGTAAAAGAAAAAAATGCATTAAACTTTTACTGAAGTGAAATTTTTGTCTGTACTGTGAAGCTTTACTGAAGGAACTGTTGTCTTTTCATTAAATAAGCAACAAGATAGTGGAATTCCATTATCTTGTTGCTTAATAGATCTAGTGCTAATGGATTTTGAGGTCTCTGAGGCACATATTGTAAGATATTTGAAATGTTTCATTTTTATGAAAAACTGAACTGACAGTGAAGATAGTTGTTACTCTGGTGGCTTTACTATCTCAATTTCATTCTAGGCCCCCTTTCCCAATGGTGGATTTGTGAATGGCTTTAACTCACCGGGATCTTATAAGACAAATGCTGCTGCTTTGAGTATAGGTCGACCATTCCATAGAAATCGGTAAGAATATATTATTATGCATAACAAGTGAAGAACTCATAATTGTTATTAGCAAAAGCCCTTACACAGATCCAAAGATTAAAACCATGTTTCTCTTGTTTTGTGGTTGTTTACATTTATAATTTTACTTGAACTTTATAAAAATACTGAAAAAGAAAAAAAGGATTCTGTATAACAGAGTTATTTCTGAGTTCTTGTACATCAATTAGCAATTGCTCTCAGATCCCCAATACTATTTTTGAACCAACACCTAGAAGAGAAGAACAATTTCCAAACAAAATGGGTTGGAAATTAAGATATGACACTTTTCTTCTCTCTCCGCCCCCCTTTTTAAAATTTTCTAATTTGTAGTTTATTTGAGAAGAAAATTGAGAGTCCCTATAATCTTGCAGGCTAGCATTATGATTTATAGCAGGGTAATCATTATAAAAGAATTCTTCTACCACATGAAATATAAATTAAGGATTGGTTCTGTTGTACTTTAAGAGCCTCCATTTTTGAAGTAAGATCACAACCACTGGGTGTGAGGGGCTTTGAGAAAAGCTCTTTTCCTCATTTGATTATCAGGTTAGAAGCTGATTGGTGAATTAGTGATGGCCCAATGATGATCAAAAGATGCGCTTAGAGAGAACAGGACTAACATTTCAAGGTCCAGGCCATTTCTGTGCTTTTCCTTTCTCTATCTTTTTTCTCTCCTTCCTTCTTTCCTTCAACTTTTTTTCTTTAACTTTCTTTGTTTTCCTGCCTAGACTGAGATTGTGTGTCCTTCTCAATGACGGGTAAGATTATGAGATCTGAGGGCTGTTAAAATTCATTACCAGCTATGTCAAAGTGCAATGCAGAAGTCTCGTCTGAATAAGAAAGCAAGTAGCATTAGCTGTAAAGGGAGCAAGTGATAACTATAAAGGAGTATATAAATCACTTTAGTTATATCATAGTTGACATTTAGAACTTCAGTTTAAGAAACCATCCTAAAATTAGAACATGTTGGTAAAGTATAATTCTGTTGTAGACCTTGTTTCATAAGCAGTTCTAGTATTCTTAGATAAAAGTAGCCAAGGGTTTTATCCCCACTTTTTGGAAGCCAAATTTGGCAGCCAAATGCCCTTTCCATTGAAGTCCATTTAATTTCTCACAAATTCCAGCAGTAGTTTGAGTTGGGGGAAGTATTTTACCTGAATCAATCAACAGACTTGTGCCTTCTAAATCCTATGCCTGGGAAATTCCCCACTCTCTCTTAAATTTTGAAAAGGAAATAGAGTAATTGTAGCATTATAGAGCTGGAACGGTCTTCAGAAAGACCAACTGCTTTATTTTTAGAAATGCTGAGGCTCCAAAATATTGTTACTTTCCAAGGAAACATACCTATTGGTAGCAGATAGACTCCTCAACTTAGATACTTTTTCTTTTTGGTGACATGAGATTTAGTTACACTTTCACAGCTTAAAGTTTGTATGTCTTATTCTTAAATTTAATTTCTATAAAATCATAGGGTGGATACTTTTTACAAAAGTCTTACGTGACTCTTGTTTGTCTTTCCTTCTGCAATCTTGTGTTTTTATAGCATGAAGCCTCATTTTAGGTCATCTAGTAGCTCAGAACATTCAGTGGAAGGATCGACTGTAGTTGGATCGGTGTCACTAGGTGATGGACCATTGAACAGAACTAGCTCAAGGAACCTTCAGACTGAACGGCCTAACCACACACTGTCTGGGAACCAAGAACAAGTATCTCCAAAGGAGTCTCCCATATCACAGATGGAGCAGAATGGTGACTATGGTGTTGGTAAAGGCAGGTAAGAATATGATTGCAAAAATCCCATTTTATTGGAACATGGGGGGTTCTTGAAAAGTACAATGACTTAGTGCATAGAGAACCTATCTCAAGAGTCAGAAAGATGCTCATGTCTTGCCCCAAACTCAATTTCCATACCTGGAATTTGTTGTAACTCTTCAAAGTTGATTTTGTTCTTTGCAAGTAACTAGTGTTCTGCTGCAGTGTTTTCCTTAACATTTCTAGCTTCATTCCTCTCACAAGAATTGGTCCTCTTAAAGGAATGATTCTTGATGACTCAGTGTCAATCCAATTTTTATCCTAGAATCAGTTGGAACATTCTAAATATTTTGTTCTTTCATGTTCACAGCCTTCAGCAATATGTTAATGTCCTAGTACTAGTCTTTAAAGGAGGTGAAGCAAAGAGATCTTCAGTTTACAAAAAATACATTAGTTGAGCCCTTAGTACAATAAGAATTATCCTGGTATCTTAGGGTTTTGAAGTATGATAAGTCCACTATTATGGTCTTGGGAATTAATGTGGAGGCTAACATTGGTATTAAATTTTACGGTCTTAATGGTGTAATGTATGTCCCTATGTAAATAAGATTAATATTTTGACTTATGTCGAAATCAGATTTGTACTTTAGGTTGTGATTTTACCTGTATTTGGTAAGTTGCTCTAGTTTTTTTTTTCTGGCAGTGTCTTGAAATGTATAAATTACTGTTCTTACCAGTACAGTATGGTGCAATTTTTATAAAAATGTCCTTGGAGTTAGAAGAACACAGGCTCGATATGAGTCAAAAAGTGTGATAACATGCCAGACAGTTAATTCAATATTAGACTGCATATAAGACAGGTATAGTGTATGACAGTAGTGTCAGATTCAAATATAAATAGATCCTTGCAGGCCACATTTTACCATAGAAAACCAGAAATTAACATTATGTTATATTGTATTTTATATATTTTGTTTAAATTTCTTAATTACATTTAATCTGGTTTAGGGTGCTTACGGGTGAGCCATAAGTTTTACATTTCTGATGTATAAGACTAGGGAGGTGTACTATATCTGAAATGCTTGTGAACACATTTGTTCATTTCAGGGCGCCAGAAGTTAGGAAAGTCATTAGTATGCCCCAGAAAATATCCCGCAGTAGATCATTCAGGATGATGTAGACCCTCAATTTTGCCATGTGAGAATTAAGGAGAAAAGACTGTGAACACAGTCTTCATCTTCAAGTATTCAAAAAGGTTGTTTTGGGGGCAGCTAGGTGGTGCAGTGGATAGAGCACTGGCCTTGGAGTTAGGAGGACCTGAGTTCAAATTTGGCCTCAGACACTAACTAGCTGTGTGACCCTGGGCAAATCACTTAACCCCCATTGCCTAACCAAAAAAGAAAAAAGGGGGGGGGCAAAAAGGTTGTTTTGTGAAAGAAGCTTGTTCTTGGTTACAGAGAACAGAACTGGGAGCATTTGTTGTAAGTTGATTTTTATTTTCCCTCAACAGTCACCTGTACCATATTTAGCTTGAAGTCATTTTTAAATTTCATATATATTTTTTTCCATTGGAAACCTTTTAAGGGCAAAGGACCCTGTTTTCAAATTCCTCTGTACCTCCCATAATACCTAATACTGTGTTGTGTGTGTACATTTAACTTGTTTGTGTTAAATGAATAACTATAAACCAGGATATTAGACCTTAAGGGGATACTAGAATATCACCTTTTTTTTAAATTGAAAATAAGTATCTAGTAGTTTCGATGTTCATCTTTTCCTCCTTTTTTTTCTCTTCCCTTCCCTCTCTACCTTCCCCCTCCTTCTTTTCTCAATTCTTCCATCTCTGCTTCTTTCTTCCCTTCCCCTCCCCCTCCCTCTCTCTTCTTTAAAAGGAGAAACCTTTTCAGAGGCCGGAGACGTAGAGATGATGACCGAATTTCAGTAAGTGACATTTCTCTTTGATGTAAAATGTGTGGGATTTAGATTTTGTTACTCTGGGACTTACTTATCTTACTTTTATTTAAAGATTCATTATATATAAAATAGAGAAGTAGTTGATTTCTATATACTACTCTTCTGTTAAGAGAGAGAACTTGTTTTCATATCACAAATCTGGGGTGACCCTCTCTTAAGACCATTATCATCTTAATATTCTCCCTTTAATAGCTGAGAATAAATAATATAAAAATACAGCCACCCTAATTTGAGTGCCTGTGTGTTTTCTGAAGCTTATTTATTAAGCTGCATTCTGGGTTTTTGTTTTTGTTTTTTTACATTCCTCACTCTTCTTTACTATCCAGGAAGATGAAAAGTAAGGTGTAAGTAGACAGGAATTCCCAGCATAAGTGATATAGTACTCATTATTTATTTGACTTGAAAATTGTTTTTACTTGTATTGATAAGTGTGGCTTATAACCAGACGGGCTAAATTCTTATTTTGTTTAGTGAGTGTTAGATAGCTCTGTGGTTTGTTCTTTGACTCACCAGTTCTTGTCATTTTGTGTTTGAATGCCACTTGTATAAACTCTAGTACCAAGTGAATTTTCTTTTCTGTGTCTTCTAGCGACCCCATCCAATAGCGGAAACAAAGACTCCTACACCAAAGTTTGACTTGCTAGCATCAAATTTTCCTCCTTTGCCTGGCAGCTCATCGAGAACACAAGGCGAACCTGCACTGGAGAGCAGAATGTCAGATGTTGTTAAGGGAATCTCCAAAGAAAAGGTAATTAGTATAGAATCCCAAATAGTGATTTGTTTTTGATCTTCCATTCAGTTTGATAACAGTTAAGTTTAATTAATTCGTGCTGAGTGCAAGGTTGTCTCAGATATCTCAGACCTTGATCACAATGTGTTTACAAATCTAATATAGATAAAGATGTCCCCGAAAATATATGTAGTAACAAAGGACAGTTAGGTTCAGAGGAACAGTCCAGGAGAGGTGCTGTGCAAAACTAACTATAGAGCACTTCAGTAGGGGACATAGGTTGAGGAAGATTTACATGAAGTAGGTGGCACTTGACTTGGCCCTTGGAGTCAAGGAACTCAGTAGGTAAGGATAGTTAATTCCAGCTGCTAACAGAGGCATAGAATGAAATAGATGGAAAGAATGACAGTAAACTGAAACATACAGGGCAACAGTGTGATCTAAGGAAAGATAGTTTGGGTCCACATTTTGATCCTTTATCAGGTTTTAATTTCAGTTATTCACATAGTTTTGCCATGTATCTCTGTTTACTGTTTAGTTCCTGTTAGTCATACAGAGCTTATTGCTTTCATAATTCACCTCAAATTAGTTGACATCCCAGAATTTTCTTTTAAATTTTCTTCAGAAATGTTTAGAAACATTTGGTATAATGTTTCTGTCTTGTTTCTAAACTACCTGGGGCTACAGAATATTAGAAATTATACCCAAGTATGTAATTAAATGGCCTATAGAGTAATCCCAACTCTTTTGCAAATTTTGCTTCTTTGTCCTATGTGTGAATTCGGAGAATACTACTTTTCATGTTAATTTTAAGGGAGACTACTTTAGCAAGAGGAAAGGGCCAGCCAATTGAGTTTAATTTATTTTTTTTTAACTTGTTTTGTAAAAGAATTTGGAGTGAGGTTAATGGTTTTCCTTTATTAAAAATAGTTTTACCAGTTATGTGCAAAAAATTAATTCCAAGCCTGTTTCCTTACATCTCCTCAACACAGTCCCAAAACATCCTTTCACAAATACCCACTCAAAAATGGGTCTGCATTCAAGAATGTTAACTAATTTTGACTTGGATTTTTTTTATATAGTATAACTCAAAACATAATTAGGAAGCTAAATCTACAAAGGCAGTTTGCTAAGGAAATTGTGCTAAGGTCTAGTTGAGAAAAACCCGTAGAGCTGCAGAAAAAAGGGAGCAATTATTTGACTAAAAGATGATTATGATCTAGTCTTTTAAGACATGAACTTTATTTTTCTTTTCTAATGATTACTGTTTAATAAGCCTTTGACATTCTCAACTAACACTTTTCTTAAATATACATTTAGCGAAATG